ACCCAGAAGTAGTATTTTGCCAGGTATCTGGGCACCCTTGAGTCCTGTTAAGTTGACCCATAAAATTAACCATCACAATTTGATATAGGGAAGACGGTTCTCTGGGGAAAAAAGTAATTCAGCAATGAAATGAGTTGTTAGCATGCCTTTCAGTCAATGCCACACCATTTACCTCCTATGTATTATATCAACTTCCCTGCTGATTAGGTCAGTTTGCACAAATAAACTATGGTCTTGTATCAGTCAGGGGGCTCTGCAGGAAACCAATGGCACAGCCAAATCATCTAAACTGAGAAGATTTGGGGAAAGGAACCATACGATAAAGTGTGGGAAGACTAAAGCAGACCAACATGAGACGGGCGGTCAACATCCAACAGTCATTACTACCAAGAAGCCTGAAGGAACATGAGGAAAGGGAAGGTGCTAGAACACAGAGAGAACTGTGGTTTTGTGAGAGAGGGTTGCCCAGCAGAAACTGTGACTGTAGGCAGAGCATTGCAGTCCCTGTGGCCCAGGACCAGGCCAGGAGAGAATAGGAGAGCCATCACCTTGACCTCTCTCTCTTCTTGACCTCCGATCTCCTGTTAGGTCCCTCCATTAGCCAAACCCAACTAGATGCCAAAAGACATAGGGTCCTACTGACAAGGTCTGTGTGGTATATCCTCCAGAGGTACATAGGCATGTGGAGAAGGATGGGATGGCTCTGGAGGGAAAAGTGGAGACTATCCAGAACATCCCATAGTGACTACAATGTCTTAAATGTAAAGCAGGTTTTCTAGTAATGCTTACTGTTTGGTTTAAATGTGTGCCTATGGAAGGCCTAATCACTCTAATAGTTTGGATACAAACTATCGAGAGGCTGAAGGGTGAATTGAGGGACTTGGTGTGGGGCCTTTCCTGTTCTCACAAGTTTATCAAAACTGCCCAGCTGTCAGAGCTGAGGATCTAATGTGGCCAACGTTTTGTCTTCCTTCTGGAAGGGGAAATAAAGGAATGGGGTACCACGAAAGAATCTGTCACTCATGAAAGAAACTCCCTCCCATCCCTGCCTAAAAGCAAAAAGTAATTTTTCCTCACATTAAAAGGGAATTTCTCCTATCAGAATGTGAGATGGTTAGAGAGAGAGAGAGAGAAAGAGAGAATTCCCTCCCCAGCCCTCTCGTCAGCTAAATGCTATCATAGCCACAAGTATCATATAACTCTACAGTCAGCCTGGGAATGATTCTTGCAAATAAAAAAGCACAGTGTGAAATGCTGACTTTTTCTGATCAAAAAGCATCCTGGGGTGGGCGGAACAGCTTTGGGTCAAGAAGAGGCCTCGATTTCTGGGGTGATTTTTATTGTTATCAGAGAGAAGACTGTACTTGCTGTAAATGTGTGGCTCCTCAGCACACTCCTACTGGTGAAGGCAAACTTGTAGTCACTTGTCTTTCTCTCAGGGTACTTACCCCCCACATTGAAACATATTTTTCATTTCAGTTTCACTTACCTGTCACTTTCTTCTTTAAAAGGGTGATTTATCAAGTTAAAAAAAAATCAACATCAAAGAACACTTCAATGCTACGGGGGTGCCCCCCCCACACATACATACACGCAAACACACACATTCAAACCCCCCGTGTCCTGTCCTGAAGGCAAAATTGTGACTAAAACCCACAAGAAACTATCCCCCAATGGGGAGCTTTTTTCAGCATCTTGACTGTGAGTTCCTTTATTCTGTGGTTCCGCCAGCCTACAAATTTAAAAGCTGTTGCAAGGGAGCTATAATTTCTACTCAACACTTCATGATTTGATTATGTAAAATAAAAAGTGTAATGAAGTTAATAGTACCTTATTCTTACTTTACATTATGAGGAATTTTTTTCCCTGCAGAATGTGAAAGTGGAAATTACCTCTGGACCTTCTAATTCTCAAAAATGTGGGTCATAATGATTACTGTGGTAGAATTTCAAGACGTAAGATTTAGTATATTTCTCTTTCCTCTATTCAGTTTTCTAAAGGGGCGTCTTCTCTTACTGGGATTTTATGTAGTAAAATGTAAGGAACTGAAGTGAGGGGTAAGAGCCCTGCATCCTACGCTACTTGTGGAACCTCGAGGAAAACACTGAACCTCACTGAGTAATAACTTCTTCTGCCAAGTGAGGAGACTGGATAACCCAGTCCTATCCTAGCATTCCAGGATTTAAAACAAAACAAAACAAAACAAAAAAACATTAAAATAAATAAATAAATAAAATTTAGAAATTTAAAAAACAACATAAAGTGGAATAAAATAAACATGGCTTGAGAAAGAAGTGTGGCATATGATGCCAGGTGTTTCTTTCCCCTTGTTTTGTCCAGGAGGCCTTTTCCAGAATTATCACCTTGTGTTTCTCTCCCAGTTGTTTGTGTGAATGCAGCAGGGAGCCAAAGAGGAGGCTGATGTTTTTGCTTCAAGTTCTTTAACAGGCCAGTCAGCTTTGACCTCATCCCTGTCTACCTCTCTTCCGATGGCCACAAGAGAATTCACTCAAGGAACTCTCAGTGGGTATCACTCTCAAAACACCGGCTCAAAACGAGTACCTTTGCTGCCACTGCCTCAGCATCTTTTATGAAGAAAGAACATAACTCTAAAAGCAAAGGTTAATTTATAGTGATGTGGCCTAAGCTGTGTAACATGGAGTGTCATTTAAGACCTCCCATCCCTCGGCCACCTACTCATAGAGACAACAGTCTTTCAGGATCTTTTCAATTATACCCATGCAGCCATAACACTTAATCTACCTCCAGGAAACACGGAAGATATTTCACTAGTGTAAAAACTCTCCTTAAGCATCATTTGGGGACATTGAATAGCATTAAGTTTCTCAGGTTGTGCCAAGCAACGGGTTCTTATTTTCCCTGTTCTCTCATGCTGAAGTCAGAAAATGGATCTGCAGGCCCCACAAGACTCAGGGTAGAGCCACGTGCCAAAGGGGAACCCAAGCTCGGTTTTGGGTTTTCAGCTTATACTGCTGCTACCAAGGCTTTGATTATGCTCGCAGTAGGGCCTGTCCCTGAGCAAAATTTAAATAAGGACAATGGTTTCATTAAGGCTCTTTCCTCTTTCTCTGATTTTCAGATGTCCAAAGCTCTCGTGGCAATTCACTGCCTGTCCACTCCCTGCCCCAGCCCGGCCCTGCATCCCAGCTGTCCGTGCCCTGTATCTTATGTTTACCAAGTCCCTCAACAAAATTTTGCTCGGCAGCTTGACATTTGGGAAAGATCCAAGACCTTTTATTAATGAGTGCTCCCATGAAAGACAACAGCTTAGCTTGCTTGCACTGATGGCATCTTCGCCTATTCTCTGGCATGGAAGGCAGAATCCAGGACTTTAGGGGCTAATCAGGGAGGATATATGGTGGTGAAGGGAACATTTCCTGTAGGGCTCCTGGGTGGCTCAGTGAGTTAGGGATCTGACTCTTGATTTCGGCTTCGGTTGTGATCTCAGGGCTGTGGAATCAAGCCCCACATCAGGCTCTGTGCTTAGCTCAGAGTCTACTTATCCCTCTTCCTCTGCTCCTCCCCTCACCCATGTGAGCTCTCTCTCTCTCTCTCTCTCTCTCATAATTTAAAAAACAAAAACAAAAACAAAAAGACCTTTTTAAAAGAGAACCTTTCCTGTGCTGCTCATATTATAACATATGAGCATCTCTGTCTCTGTTTAGGTATATGACGGACCCTATTAACAGGTTGGGTAAAAAGTGGTGGTTTTTTTTTTTTTTTTTTGGCAAAGGAGAGGCTGAGAAATTATCTTTTTATCCTGTTTCCCCAGAAACTATCTTCAGGGAATAGACGTATAAATACACACACACACACACACACACACACACACACACGCTATTTCACATTCGACAGGAGATAGAAAGACCTAAGAGATGAGAAGAGGGCAGGCACATCCTTTGGGAGGAGAATCTAAAATGCTATAAAAGTTCTTAGCCTCTGAAGGTAGGCTGGTCAGTGCACAGCCCACACAGACACACAAATTGAATCTAAAAACAAGAGAGGCACTGGACATAAAAGTTCAACGTAATCCTTTTCTCTGTTCCCGGAAACTCACATCCAGGAACACTTTGTGACCCTAAGCCTCAGCAGTTATGGGGTAACTAACTTGTCTCTACACTGGCAGAGCCAGACCTATAACAGCAGGGTGGGAAAAACACAACTGACAAATCCATTCAACAAATATTTGATTGGATACCTATTCCGACCCAGACTCCCAGCCAGATGCTGGGAGCACAAAAATGAATAAAGCACATCCTCCCGCGACAAGCAAAAGAAGGAGCTGAGCTAAATCTTCATTTCAGTCAATGAGCAAAAGAGAAAGAGGTGACTCCCTTGATTTCTTGCTCTGTTCATATGCATTAGGGAAGAGACGAGGGGATGTACACATCGGAGCTCAGAGAGCAGACAACCTTCCGCAATCAGTGACTTAGTCTCTTTCTTGGACTAACCAGATTCTCATGCACAGAAGCAAACACAACCAGGTTGTTAAGAATGACGCTCATCAGCATTCACACTCTTAGAAAGAAAGCTTATCAACAATTGAACTGTGGTACATACCTAAGGTCGGGGATGCTTCCCTCTTCAATATTAGAAGCTCTACTAAATCCTTATTCAACTTATCCCCCAGATGAAGATAAATGGGGGATGGAACAACTATATATAGGCTTGGCATTGGATGTCAGCTTTACAGTAGTATTTTTGTATAGGTTAAAGTCTACTTCAGCTGGAATTAATGTAATTACATATAATGTTGACAGATTATGACATTTGCCTATTAAGTACACTATACAAACATTCCAATAATTTGCTGGCTTTTGACTTTGTAAAAAATAAATGAAAGCAAATCCCAGGGGATATGGCTAATGGGGTAACTGGAATAGAGGTTTCCAAAGCGCAGAGTTCAGGAAATAACAGTCAAAGAATAATGCATTTTAAGCCAAAATATATAGAGTGGTAAATGAATATTTAGTACTTACCACAAGACTGCTGTCTAGAGACAACCTTTTTCCAAAGTCCCTTTTCTCAAGCTGTCTCTTTCCCTCCATGGGTAAAGTTATTTATTTTCCTTTGTGATTTATAAGAATTCCCCTTCTGTTTCCAGGGTCACTGTAAAAAGTGAGCATGTGTTTTACCATCCGAGTGAAAAGTGTTTAGACCCTTGTTTTTAGCTAACTAGAAACAAGTGTGGCAGCCAAAATATCCAGACCCGAACCATAAGTGCAAAACAGGGCTCTCTCAACTCAAAAGACCTCTCCGGGTTGCGAATGTCAGAGTCATCTTTACGGAGGCCCCTGTGTTTTTATAGGTCTTGCTAATGGAGTTGGGGAATGGGTTTGCAGGTTGAATCAGCAGACTGTGGAAAAAAGCAAACAGTCTGTTTCATGCCACGCTTGCTCCACACTCGTCCTCCCTCTATCAGCCAGAATCATTCTGTTACTGTGCACATAGATGCTGTCTGCAAATTCCATGAGCTCAAACTGACAAAACCAGGCTCCATAACCAAGAGTGGCTGAGCCCAAGGCGCAAGGAGAGGAAACGGAAACCTGAACATCACTGCCAATATTTCATTGGAAAACATGTAAGTTAAACAGATGTGGGGGACGTATAAGAATCATTCCCTCTAGGACAGGTGGATTCCACAAATGGTGGAGGCCATGTTATCATCAACGAGTATTTGAACACCCATGGCATTTTATCAGATCAGATATAGTTAATCCCTGTACTCCACTGTGGTGGTTAGCTCTAGAATGACTACGTGTCTTGGTTAGTAGGAATATATTGTGTGTGTCAAGCACTAGCTTCTAGTCTTCATGAATATATAAATGGCCTGAAATAAAAGAAATAAGTTTTAGTCCATACTTTCCCACCCATTCTCCAAGTAACCTTGGACAAGTCATTCAGCTTCTCTGAAACTCACCTTTCTAACCTGCAAAAAACATGTAGATGTACAATGATTTAAAGGCAATAAACTATAACTTACATGTCAGTTATAATTATGCACAGATTACATTAAAAACCAGTTAACCTTAAATACTAAGTTAACCTAATCTAATACATCTTTGATGATTCAGGAGGCACCTGGAGATAGAGAAGTGCCTCATAATCCACACAAAACACATAGCCATTGTCCTGCTATCAAAGTAAAGCTGAACTTAATAACACACTCTACCAATCAGCTTTTGATAAAACTGAAAAGAAATATTATCCACAGCACCCTCAATGCCTCCAAATCTAATGAGGATATAGCAGAATCTGACCTCACAGCCCCCAGCATACGGCCTCCTGCTCCTTGTTCCCCCCACCAGGAGGAGGGCGGGGACAGTGATGCCCCAGACAGGCCCAAATGATGGTCGGGGGTAGGAAACCGATGAACTCCCTTCCTAGCCCTAGGCTCTCTCCACCATCTGCGACTTCTTGCTTTTAGGAACACCAATTTCAATTCATTACTCATCCACTCAGAATCTCCTGGGAGTCCATCCTGAATTCAGGATATAGAACCAAATTTTTCAACATTATGTTCAATGTCTATTTCATGCCAAGTAGCCTTTTCCAGTCCCTGAATGTGCAAGGCATGTTCCTGAGACCATGCTTGGATCACACCCCTCATCTCCATCAGGTCTAATTCTCTCTTCTCCAGGGGCTGGCGCAGGTCCCACCTCCTTCACAGGAGCTTCCTGGTCACACCACTGGCCGAAGACTTCTTTCTCTCCCATGTTTCAGGGTAGTCGTTAGGGACTTAATTATTAACCACCATCATCACCTAGCACAGATTAAATACAGGAAGTTCTTATTTGCTGGTTGGTACAGCCTAGTAGTTAAAAACAGACTCGTGGCAGCATTTTCCAGAAGAAAACTAGTTGCATGCTATTAGTATCAGCCAAACTATTAGTTCTGTGAACTTTGTTGTAAGGGATTGCCTTTCCTATTTTCAGCTGTTCCCATCCACTTTGCTATCCCTAAAAAGCCAGTCATATAAAAATATGGGTAAAAAGCACTCCAGATAGAGGGATCAGTCTTTCTGCTGGGAAAAAGCCAGAAAGAGGTTTGTGTGCTCCCCAGAATAGGGAACCAGTTTTTTAGGAACAAAGAAGCTGGGAAGACAATGTGTGAGAAAAGTTCTAAGCCATAAGCAGCAATTACATCACACAAGTGTTTTGTAGGACGAGGTAACTTGTTTGTTCTGAGCATAACACTTAATCTTAAGGTTTGGTTACTCTTTGCTAGCTGAAAACATTAAACAATTTAATCTCTATAGGTTTCAACTGATTCATCTACAAAATGGAATTAATAATAGGTCCTGCTTCATAGTGGGGTTGTTGTGATGATTAATGAGATGATCCATTTTTTTTTAAGATTTTATTTATTTGCCAGAGAGAGAGAGAGAGAGACTACACACAAGCAGGCAGAGAGGCAGACAGAGTCAGTGAGAGAAGCAGACTCCCTGCTGAGCAAGTAGCCCTATGCAGGACTCAATCCCAGGACCCTGGGATCATGACCTGAGCTGAAGGCAGTGGCTTAACCCACTGAACCACCCAGGCGTCCCTGAGATGATCCATTTAAAGAACTTTCCCACCACCTGGCACATAGTAGGTAAGCTTTAAATATCAGATATATTGATCATCCTTTCTGGTAAGTATGATTAAACTCTTTCATAAGCAATGCTAGTGACACAATTTTATGCTCCATAATAGGTTGAGGAGACTGTCATTTTGGGAAACAAGGATCTTTTCAAAAGTTCTCAAACAGCCTAGTTTGCTATGTGGAAGGCTGACTGAATGGTTTAATCCAGTCAGTTTCTTTTCGTATTTTTTGTACTTTATAGTGCCAGTTATATAGACAGAGATTGACCTTCAAAACATCAGCAACTGATAAGACATAAGGATTGGCCAATCAGAAGGACATGGTCAATGGCAACAAGTAGCACAGCTGTAGCCATGTGTCCTGGCCAGTTACCACCCTAAATGTATGTACTACCCCATCCCAAGAACTGGAAAATTCGTGAATTATACCATAAAGCAATCATGGAAAGGATCAAAGTAAAGATATCCAGAAGGATCAATGAAAGACCACACAAGACCACGCAAGAAACAAAATGCCAACCAGGATGTGTCGATATGAAAAGGGGAGGAGTCCACAAAGGAAAAGTCAGGAAGGCTGACAAATTCCACTTCCAGCATTGTCAAGTGAAGAGTGCCCACATTTACACATACCCAGAAAGGACTGCAAGTCTAGAGGGGACATGAACATGCCGGATCCCAGACACTTTGGTATTTCACTGGCCATTTGTATCCCCCAACAAAAGCCCCTGATTAGAGACCACTGCCATAAATCAATCTTCCAATTTTATTTGATTCCCAAGTCATTTTACTTACAGAGGAAGAATGTGTTGACCAGCAAATATAAGGAGGCAATCTTTTGGAAAGCTATATTTTTTAGTAAAAATTTGCAATTCAGCATCTGACTCTTTACATTCATCATTTATGTATTTGCTTAGTATATTACTCAGCTTGTGCTGCCATAACAGAATATCACAGACTCGGTGGCTTCCAACAATAGACATAGATTTTTCTCACAGCTCTGGAAACTGGAAATTCAAGATCAAGGCGGCAGCAGTGTTGGTTTCCGGTGAGATGTCTCACCTTTGCTTGCATTTGGCCACCTTCTGTGTCCTCACATGACCTTTTCCTTTGCACACATACTTCTGGTGCCTCTTTCTTTTCTTTTCTTTTCTTTTCCTTATACGGGCATCAATCCTATTGAATGAGGCCCCCACTCTTAAGACTTCATTTAACCTTAATCACCTCCACCTGTAAGGCCCTAACTCCAAATATAGTCCTTTTGGGGCTAGGGTTCCAACATGAATTTTCAGGGGATACATTTCCATCCATATGAATTAATTTCAGTCAGAATTCAAAGTCTGATCATAGCTCCAGGTACTAATAATAAGTTTAACTAATAAGTTTTCTAACTAAGTCTCTGAGTCTAAAACCTGACAGAAAACTCTAGAAGTCAGTGGCTACTTCCAGACCCTATCCCTCTCTGCTGGTTAATTCACTGTTGGATTTCATGCCATCACTACCTCCCACCCATCCCCATCTTCCCTTGTTACACTCTTCTCTTTATTGCAGGTCTAGATGTGCAAACATTATCAAGATTTCTTAGTCAGCTGGCCAACATGGGTTCTGCCAATAGGAGGCAGTGAGAGGTGAGAAGGCAACAGGAAGGGAAAAGCCCTTCCTCTAGCAGCAGAGAAGCAGCATCAACAGCAAGTGACTGTATGATCTAGTAACTTCTGTGATTCCTCTGACAAGCACAGTATAAAAACAGGAGGTAGCAACTTCCAAGACTTTGAGTACCACCCACTTAAGCCTTTTGCTCCTCCTGCTTTTCCAACAGTTTCATTAAAAAATTCCTTGGGGCACCTGAGTGGCTCAGTGGGTTAAAGCCTCTGCCTTTGGCTCAGGTCATGATCTCAGAGTCCTGGGATCGAGCCCCACATCGGGCTGTCTGCTTAGCAGGGAGGCTGCTTCCCCCTCTCTCTCTGCTTGCCTCTCTGCCTACTTGTGATCTCTCTCTGTCAAATAAATTTAAAAAATCTTAAAAAAAAGAATTATAAAAAATTCCTTGCATTAATTCTCTCTCAGCTTGAAATACCTAGAGTGGTTTCTCTTTCCCAGGCTTGACAATAATAGATTCACACCCCATAGAGATATCCCTGGACAGGCCACCATCCTTCCTTGGGCAACTCCTGGTCTCCTTTTTGTGAGCCTTCTGAGCAATAGTGTTGAATTAGAAATCCTACCAGACATGAAGTTCTTGGAGAACAGAGACAATATCTTAAGTTCTCCTAGGTAGTATAATGCCTGATGCATAGCAACAGGACAGACACTCAATGAGCACTTGTTGTTCATGTGAATAAATGAATAAATGAATGTTTATAGCCGTCTTTGTGAACACATAAAAAGCCAGGTGGCAATATAACATGGCTAAAGCAAAGAACTTCTCTACACATTTATAAACCTGAAATTACTTTATTAGTCAAACACACAGACATACTCAAGACTCAAAGAAAACATTTTATCTTGATTTTAAAACTATTACCAACT